GTTATGTTAATCACCATACATTACATCATTAGTTTTTGATGTAGTGTTCCATGATTCATTGTTTGCGTATAACACCCAGTGCTCCATGCAGAACAAGCCCTCTTTAATACCCATCACCAGGCTAACCCGTCCTCCCACTTTGAGAGAAAGAGAGTGTGCGTGCACGCGAGGGAGAGAGAGTGCAAGAGAGCGAGCATGAGCAGGGGGAGTAGCAGAGGGAGAGGGAAAAGCAGACTCCCTGCTGAGCAGGGAGCCCAATGTGCGACTCTGTTGGAGGACCCTGGGATCCTGACCTGAGCTGAAGGCAGATACTTAACCAACTGAGCCACCCAGGCACCCAATATTTTATTTTTTTAAAGATTTTATTTATTTGAGAAAGAGACAGAGAGAGCACAGGGGGTGGGGGGTAGGGGCAGAGGGAGAGGGAGAAGCAGACTCCCTGCTGAGCAGGGAGCCCAACATGGGGCTCGATCCTAGGACTCTGAGATCATGACCTGAGTTGAAGGCAGATGCTTAACTGACTGAGCCACCCAGGCACCCCCTCATGTGACCTAATTTCTAATTCCCATATTTCCACTGATCAATATTCTTAAGTTTGAAATATCCCTTTCAAAATGTGGCACCTAGAAAAGACCGTATTACTCAAAGTGCCCAGTTCAGGGGACAGCAGTACCTCTCGTTCCTTTGGTCTGTCCTCATATTTTACACCTGAGAATACTTTAATGTTTTAAACAGATCTCGCTATTAGCTCATCATCAGGTCCCCTATTCAGTCAACCACAATCTTGGGCACCTTTGTATGACTTGAACTTCTCTTGCATCAGGTGTCTCAGCCAGCCCATCTTGACTTGGTACAGTTAACTGGTGGAGAAGCTTGCTGGTCCGCAGTGATTGCTTTTCTTTTATAAGTGCCCACACAAACTGTGTTTTATAGGGAGTCTCAAGCATTTCCCTCCATGGTTTCTCGAGATCACATTTTTTCCCTTTTTCTGAAAATAAAGATACTTTCCCATCTGGGACTGGAGATTTTAACTCATTTAAGTTTTCTTGTAACCTTCTGTTCTAATTCCAATTTCCATTTTCTCTCAGCAGTGTATGTTTTAACTTTTCCAAAACAGAGCATCCCACTTAGACAAGACAAAAGCAAAAGAGAAGTTGAGTGGCAGTCCTGTGGGCTGGTGTACAAAGACCCTGAGAACATCAGAGCTAGAAGAGACCTTAAAGGTTCTGACTCTTAATTTACACATTGGAAAACAAAGCCCTAGAACGTACCTCATGGCCTGTGATCACACACATTATTGATAGTTGGCACTAAAACCCAGATATCTAAATTCCAACAGCTATCTCTCCTTCTCTTATACTTTATAATTATTTACGCTATGTGGTCATAATTACATTTCTTAGAATTTCCATCCCTATTGAGTTATATTTTTACAGTTTCAGATCATGGAACTATACATATCTTTTAATTTGATTTCTTTCTCTTATTTTCATTCTTTGTGTGGAGAGAAGCTTTTTAAAGGTGACTAAAAGTTAGAGGTTTGACAATTTATAACATAATCTGTTAAGAGCCTACTAAATGCAAAAATGAATACGATATCATCATTGCTAGCAAGGGAGAGACAGAGAAGCAGATCTGAGAAATCAGACATTAATATAAATGACAATGAGCGAGTATGGGTGGAGGTCAGTTGGGGTAAGTGTGGAGTGTG